GCTGAAATTTTGAAACCGCATCCAGATTGTAGCTAGGAGGATGATTGTAATGATGTCACGTTGGGTGATTTAGATGAAGCTATCACCGAAAGAGATAGTAATGAAGATGTTGACTTCATGACAGACACGCCTAAGTCACCATCACCAACTAATAATACAACCTCACAAGAAATTTTGAACTCTCAAGTGCGAACTTCACTACCAACATTAGCTTGTGAATGTGATTGATGGGAAGTATTGGATCGCTCAGCTGCAGCATTAGCATCGGCTGTTTTGGTTGATTATGGCATTATTAATGCACATGACTCATCTGATTTTATTGACCCAAGTAAAAATCGTAGAGAAAGACAGAAAAACAGAAAAATTTTACAAGCTAGTGCTGCCAAAACATTGAAGGGTTATATTTCGATGGTCGAAAGGACAAAACTCAAAGCCAGATTATCAAACGAAACAGATATCATCCAGCTTTGGAGACCGAGGAGCACGTTGTGTTAATAAAGAACCCTGGTTCTAAATACCTGGAACATGTTAAAACATCACAGGGATCTTCTCAAAGTATAAAGATTAGCATTATATCATTTTTGAATGCAAATGCTATTGATACCAGTTCATTGGTGGCGATCGGATGTGATGGCAAGAATGTCAACTCAGATAATATTCGTGGTGTTATTCAACTTCTCGAGCTTCGTTTCAACAAATCTCTATACTGGTTTGTATGTTTATTACATATGAATGAGTTACCATTGAGACATCTCCTGATTAACCTGGATGGATCTACATATGGGCTAAATTCATTCAGTGGTCCAATCGGAAAATTATTGAAGAACATGGACTTGCCAATTGTCAGTTTTCAATCAATCGAAGGAAATGTGTTGTCCAGCATTGATGCAGATGATCTCAGTACAGATCAAAGGTACTTGCATGAAATGTGTCAAGCAATATCCAGTGGCCAATGTAGTTTTGAATTGGGTAATCGAAAACCGGGACTCATGTGTCATTCTCGATGGATAACAACTGCTAGTCGTATCCTCCGGTTATATGTATCTACAGAAAAGCCAGACAAAAACTTGATCATTCTTGTAACTTACATACAAAAGGTATATGCACCTATTTGGTTTGAAGTGAAGTCTAAGCATTCCTGTACGGATAGCAGTCGTTATCTCTTTCAAATGGTGCATTATACCAGATAGCCTATCAAGCTCAAGAAAATTGTTGATCCTGTAATCCAAAGAAATGCATACTTTGCTCACCCAGAAAACTTATTAATATCAATGGCAACCGATGAAAGCCCCCACATTCGTCAATTAGCACTAAGACGTGTATTGGCTGCAAGATCGATATCAGATAAGACCGATGCTAAACCTACAGTTAGATTGTTCAAGATACCTCCTCTAAACTTTGAAACAACAGATTATACAGACACAATCAACAGATCAATTGAATCGACTCAGCTTAAAAACAGCATTCTGACCTCAGAAATGCTACAATTTAAAAGTTTTCCATGCCACACTCAGTCTGTAGAAAGAGGCGTGAAGCTAGTCACTGAAGCCAGTATGATAGTCTGTGAACCTCAGCGTGATGGTTTTATTCGTGCAAGAAAAGAGTCGCGATCAGCTATGAAAGTTTTTAACACAAAATCTGATTTTAGCCTTTCAAAATGACGTTCTTAAAATGATTAACTGACAGAAAATAAACTTGAACCAGACTTACTTAATTTTGTTTGAAATAATTGTTATTCTTAATTTTTGTGGCACCTCAAAGTTCTACAATTTACATAAATATATTTTCATTAGGTTCTGATATGATGTTAAAACCATCATACAGGTTTATTATAAAGAAATCGAAAAACAAGATCAGTTTATTTTTAGCCATTGATTTTTTTGTGAAAATATGAATTTAATAATAATTGTAATTTCTAACTTTTTGGGGATTTTGGGGGATTTCAAAGTCCTTATGGCACCTCAAGATAATTTACCTGAGCATTGCAATTTTTACAGAGTATTTCTGATATGAATAAACAACTTTTGCACACCCAGGCAAAATGTATTTAAAAAAAAAAAAAATTTTAATGCTATCACTGCACCCTACTGAGCAACATTAGCGCTAGATATCTTTTAAGGTCCTCACCAATAACTAGAATTTTTTACAAATATTTTTAAAGCTATTGTGGACAATGTTAAACAGACTAAAACATTTTGAAACATTGTAAATGACAGATTAAAATGTAAATTTTAGCTTTTTTGGTCTCAGTTCAAGACTTTTGAAAGAGTTTTTATATATTCTTGTTTTGAATCAAATCAAATTGAACAGAAAAAAGTAACATTTAAGTGACATTTATTTTGTAGAAAATTAAGTTGGCTTTTTGTTAGAATTCATTTATGTCTTAGAATCTAATCAAAAAAATGTTTTTCTATTGGTAAGGCATCAAAGAAAAAATTTTTAGTGCAGTAAAAAAGAATGTATGGAATGCTGTTTTTTTTCTAACATGAGCAGTGGCGGTTAAAGTCAACAGAGAGACCTAAACAGTAAACGGAGTTTTTAGCAGGGTGACCCTTCCTTCTAAGTTGCTAGTAACTTAAAAGTTTTTTTTAGTAGTTAATTTTCTCCAAAAAGCGGTAAATTCCTCATCATAGAACACGGCGGAGGAGCATTTATCAGAAAGTTTTCTTCCTTTCCAATGAAGGTTATTGGGTTAGAGCCGGCATTATACCTCCTCGTTCTGAGTTATAATTATTATCACTGCGCCACGGTTGCTGTTTATAAAAAGCCACGTTAAATAAAAATTTATTTTCATTTTATCTAAAAACGATAACAAATGTTATCATTTTTAGATAATATACTAACAAATATTTGATTCCTAATATATCAAGCATTTTTCTGAATTTAGATGACAGTTTCTTGATTTTTTGTATCTATAAAACATGCATTTCCCCATTTTTAGGTGATTTTCTAGAGAAAATTCCTGGCTCAATTAACCTAAAACAAGTAAGAGTTATACTGCCACATCAGGGATTACTAAAACCATACATTTATTTTTATGTAGTCACTTATTTAATGTAGTGGCGAGGACAGGATCGACGGAAAAAAAAGTAAAACAATTAAACTATTAAACAATAGTATAATAATCCATAAATATATTTAAGCTCTATTATTTATAAAAAATAAAAAATGCGAATTAAAAAATATTGGCTGCACATTCATATTATATTAGAGAGACAATAAATTTTACAAAACAATATTTAACAAAAACGAAGGAATCGCAAAAGAGTAAGAAAAGCCAATTTACTATGCGAAACATAAATTTTAATTTTGGAACAAAAAGACTGATATTGTTACATTAACTATGCACAAAATATAATACACAACCAGCCATATAATAAAGGCCAGCATTCATCTGATCATTTAAAAACTAATTGTCTTTTATTAATTATCACATATATAAATAATACCATCTTTCATCAGGTCGATCTCAATTTATGCTAGAGCAATGTCAGTTTCTTCAACGAAGTTTAAAAAATAATTTCAACCGTTGAAGTCTAAAACTGTTTTTTACTTTTTAATAAATTGAATTGAATCAAAAGTGATTGAGTCTAAATAAATTGTGAAAACAGCAATTGTCAAACAAAAATTACTGTCAATTTTATGCCTTATAAAGTAACACTTTATAAATGTAGTAAAAATGCTTCTTAAACAACGTTTTTATTTCACTCATCGACAGTAAGTTTATTTTTCAAACATTTTGAAGATGGCAGGAAGAAAGTATTGGTAATCTTCTGAAAGCTATTTTTGTTATTAATTCTTGAAGCATATTGAGATTAGTTTGTGTGTAAGTACTTTAACGTCTAAATTCATTGCCCTCTTGCACAACTTCAAAATTACATCGGCATAGGCTGTAATACATTCAAAAATAATCTATTTTTTTAAATCTATCAATAAAAAATAACCTTATAGGATGTTTATCTGAAACTTTGGTTAATGAGACTTTTATATCTTTCCATACAAGCAGGTTGCCAGTAGTTTCACAAACACTCATACTTAAAGGTAATTTTTTAAAACATTTGGAATAGATGACAACATATGTCACAATTTTTGGGTGTCTATGTTATATAAATCTATTTATATTAAAGAAGTTTTACATAACATGAAATATATAACAATATATAAAAACTATCTACAACAATGATGACATCGATTTCCTAAAATTGATTTTTTACAATCCAATGCCCTTTACGACATTCACCAGTTTTGCAGATTAGGAATTTGTAACATTTAAAAAAAAAGAGGACTTTAAAGGATCTTAGACAAGCTGTGACCACCCTGATATATATATAAAGTTAATTTTAAATGTATTTTACAAATTTTTTTAATTCTGATTCACTCCCAACAAGGCAAGCAACAACTATTAGGTTGGGAGTTACTGGAAAAAAAACAGAGTTTATATATATATATATATATATATATATATATATATATATATATATATATATATATATATATATATATATATATATATATATATATATCTGCGTTTTTTGTGTAATGCAGCAGATTCATTAATTAAAAAAACAACTACTTTCAAAACAGTTTCTTTTTCTACCATTACTAAAAGTATTCAAAACTAAACACTATATAAAAACAAATGGGTTTAAAAAATCTCCAACTTTAGGAATATATATATATATATATATATATATATATATATATATATATATATATATATATATATATATATATATATATATATATATATATATATATATATATTTACAATACATTTACAGCAAAATACTAAAATTTGCTGAAAAAACTGATGCTTACATTTGAAAATATATAATAATCATAGTATTAGACAAACTGTAGCTGCCTTAACAGCAAGTGAGCTAGAAACTCACTTCAAAAGCTTTTGATAATATACTACAATATAACTTCAATTTAACAAATATAACTTTTGATAAATTTTTTCAATTTTCAGCAAAAGCTTAAAATTGAAAAAAAAAAAATAAATAAAAATTTGTCAAATTTTTTCTCAAAACTGTTTACATTTGTTGACTTGACAACTTCCAATGCACTCCGTAATTTTGCTGTGTTCCCAATGTGTTCCATAAATTTGCTGCTCTGTTTATAATGAATTCATATCTAAATATAAACTTACTTCATTCTTTATTGTATTTCTTATCAGGACCATTGCATTATTTGAGAATATTGGCTTTTTTAAAAATTCTAATTTTTCAATCGAATTAAAAATCTTGACTATATAACAATTTTTTTTTATTTTTAGTGTGTAATGTATTATTTTTTGTCTTATAATGGGGAATTAAATACTTCCTTTTAATGCTCCAAGAGTCCTGATTCCTAAAAAATTCCTGATGTATATAAAAGTTTTCTTTCCAGTTTTAACAAAATATTGATCTTCATATACAAAGTCCATTTTGTTTCTAAACAGTAACGAATTATCCTCTTACTAGACAGTTTTAATATAATAATTTGATTAGGACATACCTTTTTTCATAAACAGCACTTTCCAAAAAAAGTTTCTCCCAATGCTTGCATTTGTTGTCAATTTTCTAAATATTAATAAACTAGTATACTTATAAATAAATTAGTATACATAAAAAGATTTCAAAGAATAATAACAATAAAATTTATTTAACAAACTTTTTTTAAACAAATTTAAGTTTGCTGCTAAACTAACTACTCTAAATTTAATGTCATTAAAATAAATATGTTTAGCAATCGTTTAAAATTTTAAAACTATTAAAAACTTTCAAGAATTTGTTCTAACATTTCAAATATCTTTTTGTCAAGTTGTATTTTCCCAGAAAACTCAAAAACTACCAAAGTTATATCTACTCTTAAAACTGATTTAAAACTTTTAATGCCAAACTTTACGCAAATTTTTGTTGGCCTTGGGGAAGTGAATTACAAAAAAAAAAAAAAAAAAAAAAAAAACTCTATAAAAACTGATTTAATAATATTTAAAAGTCATCACAAAAAATTAGACCAGCAGCTCAAAATTAAGTTAAATGGGAAAAACTTTGGTGCAAAAATTTGAAAACCACTTGGGTATAAAGCTAGACAATAGCTTAGCCTGGACTTATAATGTTATCTCTAATATGTTGGTTAGATCTCTTGCCATTTTAACAAAGCTAAGATATTTTATACAACAAAAAACTTTAAAATCTATTTACTATACTTTATTTCACCTTCACATCACATATTGTGTTCATTAATGGAATCAAAACATAAGCGAATCACCTATTTATCATGCAGAAAAAAGCAGTCAGGATTATTGAATTTCTACCAAAAAGTACCCATACATTCACATCTTTAAAACACTACAAATTTTAAAATTACATGGCATAATCAAAATTGAAAATTGTTTACTTATTAACAGCTGCATAAACAAAAAGCTCAATATTTAATAAATAGTTTTTCTTTACGGTGCAATTAGCTTTCAACTCACAAGTAAATCTTGTAGAGGTGCACTGAGTGTGTAAACATATAATACAAAATCCTACGGTAAACATTCCTTTAAATATTTTGCATTAATGGACTGGAATTAACTTTAAAATAAATCAAAAACAATCCCTTTTTACAACATTAAAAAAAATGTCCTCAAAACTAAATTAAATCAATAGTTGTTACATCAAGATAAATAGAAAAAACAATTGTATCACTGGTTATAAAATATATATCACCATAGAAGATATATAAGATATAAAAATGAATGTTGACTAATAGCAACCTTCTGTGTGTCTATTATTTATTTTATTTGATTTATTTATGTTTTGTTTTGTTTATGATTGCTCTCCTCAATTTAGACAGGCTATATAAGAGTGAACCATCCAGAATATAGACTGCAGATATATTTTTTGTAATTTATAACATGCTTATGTAAAATATCTATACTGCTGGTAAATATATTGCCTTTTGTTGTTGTTTCAGCTTATTTAAGAAAAACATGGCTGTTTTCCTTATATAAGTAAAACAAAGTACTTGAGGTTTGTCAAACTGATGGATCAACTATTGAAACAGGCATACTTCAAAGATTACTTTATATTATGTAAATAAAAATTTTAAATTAAAAAAAAAACTAAAAAAAGAAACTTCCAATTCTTTTAAATCTCTAATTTTTTAATTAAAAATTAAAACTAACACAGATTAAAAAAACACAGATTAATTAATCTTTAATCTGTGTTAACTAACACAGAAAAAAAAAACATATAGAAAAAATTAACAACATAAAATTTATTAAATAAAAATTTTACTCTTGTTGTGATAACAGATTATTGTGCATATTTAACAATAGTGACAGACTTTTCTCTTATTGCGCAGGTTCCACTAAACTTACCTTATTGCTGAAAACCACTCTAACTTCAATGTACGATACACAGATGCCATAGCAATACAAAACTTATTGCTACACTATTTTTTTAATTTTACATGTTTTGAATTTTTTTAATAGAATTCAAAATAACAACTTAAAAATTAATGCGGGGGTTGACTACCGGTTTTCGTTGCTTTCATTCCGTTTTTTATTCAGTTTCTCCTAGAAGGTTTTTCGGCATTTCGGCGTTTCGGCTTTTTAGAATTCGGCGTTTTAGAAACTCCCATATTGAAGGTTCGCCAATAATATTCAAGAAAAACATTAAAGATGGCGCAACGTAAAGGCAAACAACAACTTTTTTATAAACTTTATATTAAATGAATGGAGTACTACAAGAATGAATGGAGTTATCATATACAGCTAATAAACTTTAAACTTTACTTACTTATAAAAACAATTTTTTTGATTTTTTAAAAATTGTTATAGTTGTCTTTTTTTTCAAACGTCGTGTTATGACTTGAAACAAGAAAAGAAGCTTAAACTAACACATGCTTTTAAAATCAAGTGGTTCTATTTAATTACCGAGTTTTAATAAACCTTTTGTTGAATAATTGCAAATACTAATGGTTAAAAATTTGCAACATATCCCTAAAATAATTCATTTTTTAATGTTTTAATAAAGATCATTTCAGTGAATTTTGTTGTTTTTTTATCCAGTGAAACTTGTTTTTTTTTAAAAGTCGGTTACAAGCATACTCCCGAGACGACTTGAAATTGCTTTGATGTTTGCGGCTCGATGAACTTCCATCTGTTTTAACTTCCATGGTTTCATTCACTACTCTTGAAGTCTCTGTGACTCCAACAATTTCTGTAGAACTATGTAAGTTTTCTCCGAGTTGGAAGGTATTTTGCACTAAGCTACATCATCTGTATTTTGCACTACAGCTACATCACGTGGTATTGATACATTAAGTTGCTGGGCTTCATCTTGTGGTGGAATTGAATTAGGCTGTAAGGGCTCTATTTGAACTGGCGTAAATGATGAAACTGTTTCCAATTCCGGTGGTTGATTTATACGACTAGCGCCAAGTTGATTGGTAAATAACGCATCTGCGCAATATGAAACACTTTGTAGAAATTCCAATGAAGTTAGACGTCCGTTGGCCAAATTTTCAGTAGCAACTCTGATTTTACGATCATTTAAAACATATTTCTGCTTTCGTCTCCGACGAATCAGAAGTCCACATTCTAAACGTACTTTATCAAGTTGCTGGACTTCTGCAAACTTTCATAGTTCTGCTAAAATATTAAAAGAATTAAATGCAAATAAAAGATAAGTTCAAAAAATTATATTTTTATTATATATATATATATATATATATATATATATATATATATATATATATATATACTTATAAAAACCCAAATGTTTGGATGAGCAATCTTTATTCGTTTTAAAAGCGAGGCATGGAAGCTTTCTTGATCAGAGTTCGTTCTTCTGAAACCGAAGTCATTTATGCTTAATGACACCACAAACAAATTTGGATTTAAATTGCCTAATATTGGCTGAATATGGTGAGGCGGTAGCAAAGAAAGACACAATAATAGCCTTATCCATTTCTTAAAATCACTGTGAACTTGCAATTTTAAAAGTCCAAACAATCCAAGATGTTTACACTTGTTAACCACAGCCTAAATATAAATAATTGTAAACATAAACTTTCAGTACAAATAAATATATATTTTTTAAATTGTATTTTAATTTAGTTTTAAAATTGCCATTTTATAACAAAGGTTATTGTATGTTTTGTTAAATATTTTTTTGCTTACATTTACGTAATGAAACCAACAGCCTGAAATTTCAGCTAAACGATATTGAATTTCCAAGGTATTCATCAATGCTTGTTCATAGTCCGTCATTATCCGTAACGGTGACAAATGTGGAACGAGTTCAGTAACTTTGGAAAATGCAAGAGAATACAGCTCTTGCGTTTTTCTAGTCATAAGTATGAAAATAATTGGAATAAACTAAAACAAAAAAAATTTTTACTTCTTGATTCTTTACTTGCAGAACAACATTAATAAAAACAACTATAACTTATAAAAAACAGTAGTAATAACAATAATAACAATAATAACAAAAATAATAATATATGGAGGTTGAACAAGAAAAAACAGGGAGTATATTTTGTTTTTTTTTAATTCATTAAGGTGCTCTAAAAAAATCTAACGGTATTAACGTAGTTATGCCAATGTTTATAAAATATTTCGGCGCACGTATGCCAGTTCGCGCTTAGGCCAGTTCGCACTTATGCCAGTTCGCACTTATGTCAATTCGCACTTATGCCAATGTTTGCAAATTCTTTCGGCGCACTTATGCCAGTTTGCGCTTGTGCCAGTTCGCACTTATGCCAGTTTTTGCAATTGATTCGCACATATGCCAGTTCACACTTATGCCAGTTCGCACTTATGCCAATGTTTGCAAATTCTTTCGGCGCGCTTATGCCAGCTCGCGCTTGTGCCAGTTCGCACTTATGCCAGTCTTTGCAACTGCTTCGCACTTATGCGGATTCGCAGTTATGAAATTCGCACTTATTCAGCCTCCCCCTCACGTTCCTCAAAAAAGAGAACTCGTACCTGCTTCGTTCCTTTTTTAATACATATTTTTTATTTTGAAAATTGTAATATTAATTTATTGTTTCGCTTGGTGAGCAATGCTTTTTTAACGTGTTTTATTTAGTTATTTATTTTAAATAGTATTTAAACATTTCTATTATCCTGCCGGCCTACTCTGCATCACCATGTACTTTATACACATATAAATGATATATTAATTTCAATCACTTTTTTACAATAGTATTTTCAATAACTGCAAAATCACTAACAATTTCAATAATTCAACATTTTGCAAACTAGAACAGCGTGCAATAAAATTATGTTAAAAATTATATTTTTCAAGGAATTTTTCGGATTTAGTTGGCTACTAGCTTTAAAACTATATTGGTATCTAACATAGTTTAAAATTTAGTATATATGGCCAACTAAATATAAACTAATTCCGAACTAACCGACAATTGGTTGAGTTTAAAAATTAAGTAGCTAAGACTGTTGGCTAACTGAAACCAAACTTAGATTTGATTTGATCTAAATACGATGCTTTTTCCTTTTGAAACGTAAAAACAAATTTAGCGAAATCCAAATTTAAAAAGTTTTAATGAACTATTATTTTTCGATCAACTTTTTTTCTTTTTCGTTTTTTGTTCTTTTATCAAAATTTTACAAATACGTGATCATAATATAAACTGATTCGTTTACGCGTCATGCTCATGCATAATATAAACTGATTCGTTTACGCGTCATGCTCAAAAAAAGAACTTGTGGAACGCGTTTTTCCAAACACTATATATATAAATATATATATATATATATATATATATATATATATATATATATATATATATATATATATATATATATATATATATATATATATATATATATATATATATATATATATATATATAAAATACCATATATAAATATATAAATAATAGGTTCGAAATACCGCTCTAGCCCAGTAAGCAACATTGGTAAGAAAGGAGACATGAACTTCTCCGCGTGCTCTGTGATAAGACTGTTTGGTCTTGTTGGAGAACCTTAAAAAAAGAAGAAAAAAAAGTCAAATCACTTAAAGTTAGTTTTAATTGTGTTGACATTCATTTTTCATTTAAAAAAGTTTGAAAATGCATGGCGAATATTAAAAAAATATTTGTCAAAAATTTTAAACTTTCATTTTCTTCATTTTGCCTTTTAAGTTTTCATTTCATTTGAGTAAGTTTTTACTATTCCAAATTTTCGCTTTTAAATATTTTCACAAAAGTTTTTCTTTCTGTTTCTTAAATAAAATTTTCTTTACTAAAAATTTAAATCAAGTTTATAAAACAATACAAATTGCAAATTTAGTACAAATGTTTTTGAGGATTTTGCAAGGTTTATTCTTTAACATACATTATTCTATAATGAAATTTCATCAACAAAACCTGTGGTGTTTAGAAACAGTAAACATGTAAAATATACAACCCCCTCAATTTGAGGAGGTTGCATTTAATACATGGTCATTACTATTGAAATTTTAATTAAACTTTAATTTTTTAATGAATTTTGGATTACTTTAGTATGACATTTTTTTCCCTAAAAATATATACACTTTAGGATGACGTTTTTTTTTTTCTGAAAAAAATCATTTTCTCTTTAAAAAAAAAAGGTAGAAATTTCTATCTTAGGATAGGAAGTGTGATATACCTTTAGTAAGTAAAATTTTCTACCTTTTAAGGTAAAAAATTATATTAAAAAAAATGCTTTATCATACAATTTTTTACCTTCTCGGTGTAGTTAAGGCAGTTTTAAATTAATATAGCGTCTGTATGATATTTTGTACTACGACATATTTCCGTTAAATGATCAGGTCTGTGAATTATGAAAAGACGAAAAAAACTTAAAATAATAAATTTTGCGGTATCATAAAATATAAATGTTTATAGCGAAAAAACCCAGACAGAAGTTTCTTTTTTTTAAAAAAAAAATCTTCTTAAAATCACAATCGCTCCTTCAAATTTTAATAAGATTTTAAATAAATACGTTTTTTAGGTGAAATGAACATTATAGTTTAACAATATGATCCGATTGTTTCTTGGCAATTTTTCTTAATTATAAGCTCTTTCTTGTTCGGAATTCTAGTATTTTTTCTGAAAATTAATAGAAATATTGTGTTTTGACAACTATATATTATTAATATACGTCAGAACTGATGAGAACTATGATCAATAGTAAATTAAGGAACTTTTTCAAAAGATTTTAACTAAATTCATGTTAACGCCGATGAGTGGAACTGATCTAAAGACTCCAAAATAGTGTTTTTTAGATTCACTATTACAAGTAGTAAGAAGGTTCTAAAAATTATATTAAAAAAATAAAAGTTTCTTTAAATATCATAAAAACCTGAAGCGAAAAAAAATTATAACAGTTAATGATCTTGTTTAGACATAATATGCTGACAAAATCATGCTAATTCTAAATAAAAAAATTTGAATAATTTGTAAATCACCTTAACTACACCAAGTTAAAGGTATAATTTTCTACCTTAAAAAGTAGAAAATATACCTTAGTAAGTATATCACATATCCTACCCTAAGATATCCTACCCTAAATTTCTACCTTTTTTTTAAGAGTATAGTGAATGATTTCTCTTTTTTGTCCTGCAAATCTG